GTAAAAAAGCAAATGAAAAGATCGGCAGTGGAAAAAGATAATGGTAAGTTAAAAACAKACTAGTACAGCACACCTGTACTAGTTTAATTGGTTAAATTTTATTTTTAAAAATGCTATCTTATCTGGTTAATTTCAGTTTATATAACTGTTTTGACTGGTTTCACCTCAGCATCTTTTCAAAACATCCCGCAAATTCAAAATTTTTGCAGCCGAATGAACCACGTTTGTGTCACTTTTCAAATGAAAAAAATGTTTTTATCCCACCTGGTAAAAGAAATGTTTCTTCGGTTTCTAGGATCAATTTTCTTATTGACAGATTTAGTCTTGCTTGTTGAGTATTTTCATTTCTTAAACCTCAGTGTATCTGTTCAGACTCCTCAGCTAACTCACTTACAGAAATTAAACTCATGAATCAGTGATCATATGGGATCATTTGGGATAAATATCCAAAGAACAAAATAAAAACATTTGGAGTGAATTAAAAGGTACTTGGAGTGACGTGACTCTTTAATTGAGAATTAAGAGAATTGAGGTCAACTCATCTCCAACCTGCAGAGGTTACAGGTGTTTGTTTGAGGCCATGACTTGAGAGCAAAGATAAAGTGACCAAACAATTTTAAGTCTGATTTGTTTCTTCTGAAGATTTCAATTTTCACAGATTGCTGTGAAAAAAACAAACCCAAACCATAAGCATGGCTGTTTATTACCTGCTACCTCACAGTTTTACCTCGACTGCTGGAAGCYAGGGTGCAGAGGGTGCTGCACAGTTCGATGAACATCAGGAGACATTAATCGATAAGAGAATCAATGAGAAACCAAATGAACTTTGGTATGTAAAATCCTATTTTTTCCTTCTAAAATTGTACAAAACAATGTTTCTAAATATCGTAAAAGTAAATTTTATCTTAAACTTTGGATCTGTGGTGTGTTTACCCAACGATTCAAAGCAGCAATTCTTTTCAAAGATGTCTTCAGTAACATACATGAAGCACCAAATTCTACTTGTCTTGTAAATATAACATTTCTCACGTCATTTATTCTTATCCRTATACGTAAAATGTGAATGAATCAGGACACTTCTACCATTACTTTCAATTTTTTTTTTTACTTTTTTTGTATATTACCTGAACTATTCGTTGAAGGTGAACTCTAATCTAAAAACTCTCCTTGCGTAGTTCTTTCTGTAAGAAAAACTCGTTTAAATACACAAATTTAAGTATTTTCCATCTTTCATCAGATCAGATTTAAAGACAAAAAATCACACAAAAAGATGGATGTGTAAATAATACAAACTTTCCTGTTTTGCAAAAACTACATTTTTTTTATTTCAAACCAGGACAAAAGGAAAATATAAACATTGATGTGTCGGGAAATATATTAGCTTTCTGGAGAGATTACAGCTAAAACAGTGCAAAGATGGAAGAAGAAGCACGACGACGACAAAAAAAAACAAAATCGTACAAAAACAGAAATTTTCTCTTTGAAAAAGAAAAAAAAAGACCAGCTTGTATTTCTGGTTCGACTCCACAGCTCTACTGGTTTGGTTATAGGTAGTGAGAAGTGAAGAAAGCGCGCTCAGCTTCCGTTTCATCTCCGAACAGAAATTCGGCTCATTTATGATCAGCACGGTAAGCCATCAGTGCTTCAAGTTAATCCATTTTAGCCCTCCGTAAAAGAAAGGAACACACAGGTCCACCAGGTGTCCAAGCAGAAATGTCCAAAGGCACTTCGGACACAAAGGAGGGTTTCTGTGAGTTCTGCTGTTCCATCAACTGGCTCCTCAGAATTCAAGCATTTAAAGACAGTAATCTTCATGAATCACGACAGATTTGTTTTTAACCCAAAACAAGAGTTTTTACTGAAAACCCCTGAACAGTCCTTAAGAAACAACTGAATCGTGGCCCGACATACCAACACAAAACTTAAAATACCCCATGTAATGCTCAGGATTAAAGTTATCAAGGGTAAAATACKGATTTTCTGACAATAAACTCCCTCTGTGCACAACACAAAGTTTACAGGGTGAACGTCACATATGCTCAGACCCCAGGAACTAGAATAAATTTTAAAACAACACCGACTGATGTGTTTGCTTAATTGTACAATAAATTCATTTATATTTTAGTATTACTTTATGGAGGATATTCTGTTTTCTACTATTTAAAAAGAAGGGGATGAGTACAAAGTGCTTAAACAGACAAAACATCAACTTTCTTAAAGTCAGACTGAGACACACCATATTTCTATATAGTATCTGACGTTAAATTATAAAAAGTTTAACTTAGTAAAAAACTTTTGGGGGGGTGAGAGCACAGTTACATGCTTCTGTTGCTTCTGTAACATTTTAAAAGTCAAAACAACAAAACAGTGGATCGCCAACAGATATTGTAATGTTTCCCATCACCACGTCTAAAAGCTAAAGTGTGCGTTTCAGAACTACACGGAGATCAACGACGACGGGGACTCAAAGTGAAACGAMACAAGTCAGTAAAAGGTTCTTAAAACTTCAGGAGTCATGCACAAACTATGACAGAGAAAAAATTAAAACACTTTAAATTTAGGTTTCGTGGAATGACAGTTCTGCATAGCACAATGTCCTAATTACACGATGATGTAATGCGCACCTAAATAAACACAAAAAAATCTAACAAACGGAAACGAGTCTTTGCGTTATACATTAAAAACAAAGAAAAAAAAAACACTAAAATAATGGTTTACCTGCAAAACTATAAAGCAACGGTAACAACAAGCAGGCGACACTCGTGACAAGACAAACCAGTAATGTACAGGAAGTAGGAAACATAAAACTTCCTGAGCTACCGCTTCTGTCACACTTTGAGTCTCATCTTCAGAACTTCTTATTTTTGCTCATAAATCCATAGGAGTTATTGAACAGCTTCCTCCTAAATATGTCTTGTGCGGTTAAACGTTCGAAGCCAGAGCCAATAACGTAACGGACTTTCTACGCAAACCGTCCCTTTTAAGACACAACACGGCCTGAGCGCCACACTGTTACAGCTCGTTTGGGTCAGTGCACAACAGAAGAGGTTTACAGGTGGGRTACAGTGAAACGTGTTCAGATACTGATGAGAAAAAACTCTGACAACATCATGGAGTTTGACTGTCAAAGGTAAGAGGTTGCGGAAGTGTGGTTTACTGTTGTGTACTCGATCCTGAGGCGTTGCAGAGATGGGCCGGGTGGTCTCACAAACAATTTTTTAAAAATTAAATCATACAGTACCAAGWGAAGTTATTATAACTGTCTGATCAAGTCAGACTTGTTTAGTTTTCTTCTCTTATATAAAAGGTGAAGGTAGAATAGATAAATCCTACTTCATCATAGTCTGGGTCGGTTGATTCTTCTACCTTGTGAGGCGGAACCATTTAGAGAGGAACAGCGTTTCAGGACAGACAAACGGTTGTAAGGCTTCAGAGGCACAACCGTGTCCCGCATCATCACCAGTCCTGATCTCATAAAAACACGACAGCTTATGTCTGAACAAAAAACAAATAATTTAACATGGGTTTTTTTTCTTAATGCTGCCTTCTGAAGTTAGCATTCTGAGGTCCCAAATGTTTCTCATCAGCTGTCAAAAGGAATTCTACAGAGACCAGTGCATCTCTTCAAAGTCTACAGCTTCATCCAGGTTTGCGTCAGTCTCCAGCAGGCTCAGGATCACCGCCATGGCTGCTTCGTCGTTGCTAAGACTGTTGAGGCCTGGTCCAACGACACTATCCAAGTCCAGCTGGGGATTATCCCCTGATGTAAGYAAACAAAACCAAATGTGAGGCGTTTATAATAGAGGAGTAATTACACAAAGGTGGCGCCAGCCTATAAACAGCATCTGATGGAGTACCCAGAAGTGTGTCTCCMCCTGAGAACGAAGCTCCTTGGGGCTCACTGTCTGAGCTGGACTTCCCAGGAATCTCCATGTCGGATGTTTCTCCATTTGGCACCTACAGTGTTATGAATGCAATTTAATAATGGATCGAATATYAAAAATAAATGAGGTTTTTGAATCGATTCAGATGAATTTGTTCGACCAGTTTGCCTGTGTGATTAAAAATAATAGTTTTTAATGTTCAAGTACTTTTAGAAAGTCAAAAAGCTTCATTAACATGTGAATGTTCACAAGTCAAAATGTTATTAAAGAAATAAAACTCCTAAAGCTTGACACTGAAAGGGTGTTTTTACTATTATATAACTCTGTCATAATAAAAAGGATCACATTAAAAAATTAAAACCATTACTTGCCAAACTGATATATTCCTGCCTTAAAATGATTATTTTATTCAAACTGGATTATGTTTTAAGGGTTACAGCCCAATTAGTCAGTTAATACAATTATTTTTCATATTTGATCATTAAATCACATTTACCACACGTTCCAAATATAAACAAGTTGAGCCCAGTCAAAGGCCAGACTTAGCTTTTGCTATAATCCTGTGTAAAATTGAAATTTACAGACATTCATGATGTTCTGACAGAAAGAACATCATGAGAAGAAAAGRCTGAGTTCATCATAGAAAAAAGAAACAACCATGTTTAAAAATACTGTGGATTTGGTGATCTTACACTGTTGTTGWTTTGATTCGGAGTCTGGGGAGACTTTTCCTGTTGCAGACTGAAGGGACTGACGTTCCCGCTCGGGGGTGACGAGTTGAGCCTAAAGAAACCAACACAAAACAGTTCAACACTGCAGAATCTTTAACGAGTGAGAAAAACCCCAGCTCTGTTTATATGAATGTATGAAAAGACTAATTGCAATAATCATCATAACTTTGTTATTATTTACTTGTTGAAATCCAGCAGCTCGTTAGCGATCTGTGTTCCTATGTTTCCAGGATAGATCAGAGTTCCAGCTGCAGAGGAGATGCCTGGGATGACCGGAAGAGACTTCTTTCCATCTTAACAGAAAAAAGATAAATAGTTGTGCCACTCCAACACCTGAAACCTTCTCACTGAGAGGAAATAACTCAAATCACTGCGCCGCCATRACGCAAAATATTTATTTATTGATTGATTTTACGGATCTATTTTGCATCCAGCATTGTTACAGATATCATGCACGCACACAGCAGCTGACCTTCTGAAGTCTTGGAATCGCTCGACTGCTCAGACTTGTTCCCTGATCGTCCTGTTCGACTGTTCTCGTGCCTCGACGTGGAATGAGGAAGAAAAATAAATATAAGCTCAGCCCAATATATATTTATATATGCYCTATGTCTTATTAAATCATAAACCTATATATACTCACGATATAACTCTGTTAGTCGACACTATGTACTCGACTTCTTTGTTCCAGGGGTTTACAAAACTAAACCACTGACTCTGCAGAGTGACAAAAGAGCCGTGTTTTGTTTTGAATTTATAGCAGTTTGTCTCGATTTTCTCTCGACTTCGCAGCACTGAGAGAGAAAGAAGCAAAGACAGAAAGTTAGAAGAAACAATGCAAAATACAAGACAGACAAAAATTCAATGTAAGTACAGTTGAAGCAAGATTTTTACCTTTTCGATGCTTATCAGCTAAATGTATTAAGTCATCTTGATGGAAGTACTCATAACATGAAGTCCCAAGCAATTCTTGTGGAAGATAGCCTAGAACGGTTGTTGCTCTGGGGAGAAGAGGATTCATTTTAATAATAATGCCATTAAATTTTTGTTTTCTCCGTCATGTTGCTCAAAGAATCAAAACTATTTTAAGTTTCAGCAATTTTTTTTAAAGGCAGCTGGTTAAACTTTCAAAAGTTAAATGTATTTTTAGAAAGCTTACATACAAATGTGGATAATGTTTTACATTCTAACAAAGAACAAAACAGATTTTATTAGGGCTGAGCAATAGTACATCATAAAAAAACACATCCAATATAATAGTGATAATTTCACTGGTTATTAACTGCTAACTGTTTATAACTTTCTGATAAAATAAGCCAGGAACTTTCAGCTAAACACCACCAGGAAAGCTAAGAGTCACCTTCAAAATAAAAGCTTCAAGCTGTTAATAGACATCATATGCCCACTAAAAACATAATTGGCTCGCACTTTATTTTGAAATGTGAATACCGGGGTTTCTTACTCCCTCTTGTCACCACATTTGAGTGATTGAGCACTAGCTTGCTGGACCAGTCCACCATTGTAGGGTTAATTTGAAATTATTTATTGATTTAGGGATGCTGTTACACTTAAATGAGGCATCTAAAAACAGAAGAGCGTGTCAATATGACGGACCAACAGCTAAAAGCCCAGCCTTAGATTTGAAAAGACTAATTTGAGAGCATCCAAAAACTTTTACTAAATAACTACAATCAGCTTTTAGCTAACATTAATGTATTACAAGATAAAATAACCTGAATTTTTGGTATTTCATTAGATGCTACATCATTTCCTTTTACAACAGCAAAGTTTCAAACAAATTCCCCATCCACACAGGAACATTGTTTTATCAATATGACAAGTTTTATTTATTTATTCATTTTTTTTAAAGAATTTCAGCCTTTTTTCCACTTAAAAACAGTGTTTTATGAGGCGGGTTTCCTGTTTTTAGTGCACTTTCTCCTGGCAACGTTACAGCGCCACACTTGGGGCTGGCATAGTTGCTACAACATTTTGGGTCGTTTTTCTGCATTTTTGTATGAATGAAAACATTTCCTGAAATGACAAATAAATATATTGTTTGGACAAATGTTTCTGTGTGGACGGGGCATAAGCTACTCACTTCTTCTGACACGTTTCCAAACTCTACCAGCTTCCACAATTCAAACCCCCKCATCTTGCTACTGAAAGTCAGATCTACCTTTGATCAACAAAAGTGAATTTGCCGTCCATGGTGTAGCGAGTGATGAACTCCGTGGGTTTAATTCGGACCTCTCCGTTGACTTGAGGAGCTGAGTGGGTGTGAACGCGTCCCACCGCCACCAGGCAGCTGAAGGAGGAGCTCTCCTGCTTGTCTGAGTCCCCKTTCCCCTCCGATGCCATCTGACTGGTGGGCCAGCTGCGCATGTAGCCCGTGCAGTGGACTGTGCAGTACTTCTGTGACTCTAATCAGAAACAAACAAAACCCCAACCAACTCATATTAGATCAGAGATTCTTAACCCATGGGCCGCGAGCGCCACCTTGAGGGCCTCAAAAGAACAACTTTGGGCCGCAGAGGGCCGTGGGACCACATTGATTATCAATAAAGTGCAATACACTTTCTCACCACTAGTAGCAGTAGTGCGCCACTCAGATGTTTAACAACTTTTTTAATATGTAGAAGAAGAACCTTAGAAACCTACGACGGCGTATTAGGGCCACTTTGCCGATGAAAAAAAAAAAGGAGGAGCAAATCTCTTGAGAAAACCTCAGAATTTCTGAGATTAATCTCAGAAATTTGAGAAAAAAAAACACGAAATTCTCTTATTTTGAAAAGTTGCAAATTTGCGAGAAAAAAACTCAGAAATTTCCATAATTAAATGTAGAAATTTGCAACATTTAAACAAGATATTTTCTGACATGGTTAAGTCAGAAATTTACAAGTAAAAAACTCGTAAATTTATGAGAAAAAAACTGAAGTTTTCAGGAATGGCTAAAGGGCGATTCCACCTGTTTTCACTACCTTGAGCATTTTTAAATCTGCTCTAGCTTAAAAACTAAAACACAGAGACTTCAAACCTGGACTAGATRATTCTACACTGATTGCAGAATGTTTAAACTCKAGTGTGTGATTTGTGGAACATATATTTGATATGTGAAGCTTAAGGAAATATGGTGATTTCAGAACTTTTTATGCATTTTTAAACAAGCATGGCCCGATGGAGAGAAATTATGCTGCTATCAACTTCACACCCAACGTACAAAAACACACAAATGCTTCACGTTGGACTCTTGTGCACTTTGATGTCAAGACAGACGCTCTTCAAAATTGCTCTTGATAGCGTCCAGAGCCTCCTGGCATGGCAGATGAAAMAAAGAAAGTGGCTTTGCTTTATTTACTGAGAGCAAGAGCACTTACCAGATAATTAATTCATCAGATAAGTGAGTTTCACTAAAGGAGCTGCGCACTGACGAGCTGCTGATCCACGCGTCCATGGTCCACCATAGACTTTGCATGTAAACCTGACTCCCCCGACGCTCAAAACGCGTTTGGTGCGAGTGACTGAAGCAATAAGTAAGTCAGTAAACTTTATTTAAATAGCCATTTTCATAGACACAAACATTGCAATGTGTGTAACAGAAAAAGAAAAACATTTTTCAAAATATTCATAGACTTTTATTTTGAAATATCCGGTTAACGAAACAGGACGTCACCACAAGTTGGGTAAATTGACAGCGAAATTGCGTGGCTACATGGAATTGTGAAAATTATTTTTCTCTACAGGCTCCATGATCGTTTTGGATGATTGATTCAGTCACTCTTCTCTCATCTCTCCTTCGGGCTATGCTTGTTTATAAAATGCATAAAAAGTTGAAATCAGCACATTTCCTTAAGCTTCACACATCAAATGTATGTTCCACAAATCACACACTTGGTTTTAAACATTCTGCAATCAGTGTAGAATAATCTAGTCCAGGTTTGAAGTCTCTATGTGTTTTAGTTTTAAAGCTAGAGCGGATTAAAGATGCTCAAGGTGAAAACAGGTGGAATCGCCCTTTAGCCATTCCTGAAAACTTGAGTTTTTTTCTCATAAATTTACGAGTTTTTT